ATGAATTTCGATGGACCAAATCGGACTCGTGTTTTAATATCTTCTTTTTGATGGGAGGTGGGGGGGGGGGGTAATATTGTGCTATTTCTTTCATATCGAAATCAAAAAAAGAATTCTTTACAACCATTACAAAATAAATCCTGGAAAAGGCATAAACAATTTTGTTACAATTCACAAGTAAACTTATCTTCACCATAACGAACCACTGGGTACTTGTGTTCATTAAAGAATTACATAAGAGTTAAACATTATAATCATAGGTAACTTGAAACCTCAGTTTACTTGAATTATTTAATGTATAACTTAAAGAGAAGGTTGAGTTCTGGGAAGAGGTGAAAAATAATTTGTGAGCGTTATCATTCTTATTATGCAAGTGTGGAAGAACATCAGATAAGACATGTTCCCTGAAAAAACATGGCTCTTCAGATGCCTTCATATTCTAAATATGTCATGTAACATCGTAAAGATCCAGGGTAGGATTTTTATGCCGCGTGTTCGTGTAGTCCCATATACATCTTTCTGTGTACAGTGTTTGTAACTTTACCAAGACTTGGCCAAATTTCTTATCATTTTGATGATTCCAAAACCTTGCAATACACACAAATTCTTATATGCTAGATGATTAACCTTTTCTGGTCGACTCCACACCGTTTCTTTCACAATGCAATCGCATGACCAGAACCCAACTTCATCTTTAAAGGCATCGGTTAACAATGTTAAATCTGAGATGCACAGCCCTACGTTTCAGTGTCTGTGATATGGTGCAATATTGAAGCCCTAACAAATTTGCGCTTTAAAATGATCAAGAATTGCCTTAAAAAGTAAAAAACTTTGAGTGACCGGTTTTACCATACTCGTTTACCCCAATAGACTGTAGTGTTATGAATATCGTTCGGAAAACGCACAATTTGGTTTTGATTTCCAATCATAAATATCTTGATAATCAGACAGGCGATTGGCTTGTAAATGTTATGGGGTTCCTGACTGACCTAAAGGCCAATAATTACTTGCTCCTATTTTTGTAATTAAATCATTGAATAAAAGTATATATGCTTTTCTTTGGAGTTCAAAAAGAGAAAGAGTGAAAAGAAATGTCTGTATAAATAAACAGTTAGATGGTGGTCTTGATATGGTAGACATTGAATCGAAAATAAACTCTTTGTATTTATCTTGGATAAGCAAATTATTGGATAAACAAAATTGTAGATGGAAATCATTATTCAGATATTGGATTGACAGGATTGGATTTTTTCCAGATATTTTACGATATAACTTGAATAAGAAAGCTATGAAAATGATGTGTATACAAAAAGGACTATCAGAGTTTTATCAAAATCTTCTTGTTGCATGGTCAGAATTTAAATATCGAGGTTTAGTTGATGTAACAGAAATAGAAGAGGAGATATTATGGAAAAACAGCCATATTAGATTCAAGAATTCTACATTATTGTTGTCAAAGTGGTACGTAGCTGGAATGTCTAAAGTAAAGCACGTAATATCAAATGGTATTTGAAAAAACTCGTTTATGTTAAATAAAAAAAGTTGGTATTCATCAATTAGTATTTGAGTTCGAATATGCAAAATTGAAGAAATGTTTCCCATGCGATTGGTTGAATAAATTTATACGTTTGACAGAATGTTGAATTAATTAGTAAGCAAAACGATTCAAATTTAATTAAGGTAGCTACTGGAGATTTTGTTGATATATCTAGTTTCAAGACGAAACATTATTATTTACCCCTCCTGAAACAAAAACTTCAAAAACCAAATGTTACACGTTACTGGGAATATTACTTGAACTTTAATACCTGTTTCTTTTAAATGGCAGAATGTATTCAATTGTAAATTTCAACAAATAGGAAATAATATGATAAAGCAAGTTAATTTTAAAATATTGCATAACATATTTCCTTCAAAACTAAATTTATGCAGATGGCGTAAAATGGAAAATGACCAGTGTGACATATGTAAAGAAACAGAAAATACTTTTCATGTCTTGTTAAAATGTAATAAGGTTAGAGTTTTTTGGGAAATTATTGAAAACTTATATTAAATTACTTTCATGAACAAATAAAAATTAATGAAAAAGCATTAGTAATAGGTTATTTTATTGAAAAAAAGGAAAAATTTGTAATAAACTTCTTGTTCATTTTAGGACAATACATAATATACATAATGTATATTAAACTTCGGTGTGATGGAAAAGAGTACAATAGTAAAAGTCTGTTCATTAATTTCAAATTAAAACTACGATATTACATAGCAAATAAACAAAGTTTTCTATTAACGAAACACAAAGAAATTTTCCAAGAAATGTTAAGGTTATAACTATTTTTTTTAAATACTTTGTCTTTTTTTTTATGTTAAAATGTAAAATGATGTAAATATATATGAAATGTGAAATATGTGAAATAAAACACCTCGGTAAAAGGACAAGAAAAAAAAATGAATATCGTTCGGAAACCGCAAAATTTGGTTTCGATTTCCAATCATAAATATTTTGATAATCAGACAGACGATCGGCTTGTAAAAGTCATGGGGTTTCTGACTGACCTAAAGGTTCATGATTATCATTGCAGCATGAGCTAAATCTATGATTTTGTTTCAAAATCTGAGACAAAGATACCCAATCCATTTGTCGTTAACTTGTCTAATCCCCCCCCCCCCCGCCGTCATTACACCCAACCTCCATTTCAACGGTCCTAGCGACGCCCCTGATGAGGAAATAATGTAGCAATTAAACTAAAAATATTCAGCATGGCATACTGTAGGAGCAGTTCAAGGGGGGGGGGGGTGGCGGTTTAACCCCCCCCCCCCACCCTTGGCAAAGAGCTAGATCCGCCCCTGTACTGGGTTATAGGATACTTATATAATGTGTAAAACTCCACTAAGATTCTAATCTCCAGCGCACTTTACATGATCCGATTTTCGAAGAAATGGCAATTGTGTTAGATATGGGTTTTTAAACCAACACCATCTTCCCGATTAAGGTTCTGAATAATAATAAAAATTGTAACAAACGGAAATTCAATGCATTCAAGAAGTCAATCGTACTACTGATCGGACGTAACTACAATTCTGAGCTCATTTTGCTTTTTCTTCTTCAAGGAATCTTGATATCTCTTGAAAATTAAGATTTTGTTAATCATACGACTACTCAAATCCTCGTTCATACTAAATGCTAAAGCAAACTCTTCCCAAAGTGGATCGTAGTCATATCGTATAATGCGCGGTAGGCTTAAAGTGACTCGGGAACATTGTTGAAAGTTGATGAAATAACTGTAGGCCTACTTACCCTCGAACAGGCAAAAAATCCTGAGAAAATTCTCAAACCACAAAGATATTTATGGGTTTCTTTGAAGGCGTCACAGTACAACATCCTCTAAAAGTGATTAACAGTAAATTCTCCCAACCATTTTTACATTTTCGAAACCGTTTTTTCTTGAAAATAAGACATAAGACAGGCTTTTAAATATCTTTCAACACTTGAATGTCTGAATGGTATATAGAGCTAATTCATTGCTTTGTGACGATTTAAATTCACCTAAAATGTAATTAAATTGTAATATTATAGTTGGGAGAATTAAGAAATCGATCCGATAAGTTTTTCCCAATTTGTATCATTAATAATGGACCATTCAAACTCAAAATTTCAGATTATCTTTAATTGTACATCTAGCATTTAAGTCACTACCTTAGCACCATGTTCTCTCATCTTAACAAAGTTACTTTAAGGAACCGACAACAGACGGACAACAAACAGACCAAAACTTTAATTACCCCAAATGGCCAAATTTAGTCAGTTATCGATTTTGGGGGAAATGTTTGGCGGTGTGAACTGACATCCCTGACTAAAGTACTTTGAGTAGCAATCTATGACGCTCGTTAAATAAATAATGTAATTCTGGAAAGACGGCTCTTGGTTTTTATGCGAGGTGTACAAATGCACCTGTCGAAACAAGAGTTAGACATTAACAGTACACAATGCAACAAGACTTGCTTGGAATGTTAGTCGTAATTACCAATACAATATTCGAACATACCGTGTGTACGTGCACTCAATAATTGTTAAAAAGGGATAACGCATATTCCTATTCCAAAATGTTCATTTTTTGGTAAAAAGTGATCATTATTGGACAAAATGCTAACCTGTAGATTTACCAAAGTATGTACTAGTATTCGATTCTTAAAGATAAGCTTGAGTTCTGGTAAATTTATAGAATAAATTATCACAAAATCCAACGAAACTTACACTAAATGTGCAAAATTACCAAAAAATGGCATTTGCCAAACAAGATGAATAGCATAGATTTATTTATATCATATTCTAACCGTTCAAAACCTATTGCTCCGGTTTATCACACAATTTCACTGGTCTTTTTTTCTGCTTTGATACAAATGACAAATTTGTGTCCCTTTGTTGCCACAAAAACTATCATGTTTTGCCACTACTAATATTACTGCTGATACGTATTCATAACGATCTTGGTGCTAGCAAATTTTGCCTTTTAACTTCCTTAAAGTTCTCCCCGTTTTCCCTATTAACAATGCTCTATGATATTGCGTCTGTTCTATTTCAAAACAGACAATAGATGATTACGAATCTCATTTACGTAGCCTTCAATGTTTTAATACAGGTGCCCTTTGAACAGCCGAGCAAGGTTTAATGCCATTACAGCGGTCTTATGCCTATAGCTTCTTCTGGACCTTATCAACTAGACAAACAAAATGCCAAGTAGTACCCTTTAATACCAGCGATACCAACATCAGGGGGGTGTTTCACAAAACTTGTCATCAGTGACGAATGACAGTTTTTGTTATAAGCCACTGAAATCCTTGCTTCTGATTGGTTATCAGCAGATTTGTCACTGATTTTGGTCATTTGTCATTGAAAAAGGATTTGTGAAACAGGTCCCAGATCATCGACAACGGGCCGAAGCAAGACATACATGTACACTACCGCCCATGGTTAAGAATTAGTCGGTTTGGCTTCGGTTTTGGAGTGGGTTTAGCGTTGTGACTGAGGCATCAATCATAATGAACCAGGAAGCAGTATGCATGAAAATATTTCTAATTTAGAGGAAGGAAATTTGAGGAAGCAAATCGGATGATACTATATACATGCATGGAGATAAGAAGATCACTTTACTCGGCTTGCTCGTAAATGGACATTTTGGTCTTTAGTTGATGGTTACAAGTGGTTTCTTTGTGTAGAGCGATGGACATAAACATGTTTGGAACATTTCTATACTGGTTTATCTTCTTGCAAGTGACACTCATAGGACAATTGACATGCGGTAAGTAGTTTGGACGCTTCATGTAAACCCCTCTAAAATTTTGGAAATTCAAGTTTTATTGATTATATTTTCTCTCTTGTTCTGACACAATCATCACTATGTTTATTAGAAAGTGTGTTTATTTCTTTATAAAAATGATCTCCTATTCGTTACGATTTTTTTTTCATGGAGTTCGCATTTATACATCAAACTTAGAAACAAGTTGCAAAATGCACTGCTCTTGTACGGCTTTGCATTTTTCCTTCTTTGATGAATGTAGGGCTGGTGTGTAGTGCACTGCGTAATCCATTTCGCAACTTTTCACTTTTTACCCTGCCCCTTATTCTGATGTACTGCGCATTCCTTGTTTACAGAAAATTAGTCAAGGAATGCGCAGTACATCTATGGTATCAAATATGGTATCATCTTAATAAGGAAGAATAAACAAACAATCTGATAATGCTTACTTAAAGGAGCAATTATCTCGTGACAAGTGAGATGTAATCGATCGAATTCGAGTTTCAAACTTTTCGAGGGTTTTATATTTGTGTTTTTTAATATTTTATTACTATCCACTTGTAAGTGTAAGGGATTGTATTCCTTCTGCAGTCGTTTCAGCAATCGGGATAAATGTAAGATCGCAGATTTACGTTCGTATTTTTCATGATAACTAATGGGTTAAAATTACTGCTGCTGCTACTACTACTATTACTACAGCTACTTTTACTACTACTAATACTAGTAATACTGCTACCACTACTTTAACTACTTCGACAATTCTACTAGTACTACTACTACTGCTACTACTACTAATAGTACTTTTTCTAGTACTACTACTGGTACTACTTCTACTACTACTACTACTTTTGCTACTACAACTATCAATACTACTCTACCACTAGTAGTACTACTAGTAATTGTACTGCTACTACTACTTCTACTACTTCTAATTTTGCTACTTCAACTATCAATACTACTCTACTACTAGTAGAACTACTAATGTTGCTGCTGTTAGGACTAATACTAATACTGCAACTTCTGGTACAACTTCTACTCTACTAGCACTAGTACTACTCTGCTACTGATAGAGGTACTACCACTGCTTCTACTACTACACTGTTGGTCATAATGGTGGAATAATTTGGTTTTACCCCAATTTATGGAAAGATTTTAACAATGATTTTTATTCCTACTAGATCTAGATAATAGTATACATTCTCAGATTTTATTGAATACAAATTTGTGAGTGTTTGTTTTGCGTGACTGCTAAAGCATGCGTATGCTACTATGCTAATCTACGAGGAGATCTACGTCCTTAAGTCATAACTGACAGTTATGAGGAATAATGCCTCATAAAAGGGCACTAACAAAGCATATCGACACGGTTTTGATCCTGGGGGCTCACATAAACGAGGCCATTGCTTAGCCACTGAATCATGACTGTACGCAGCGGGGGCTAGGGTACGTCGCCGTCCCCACAAATACAAAAAACAAAGAAAATGCAATAAATTATCAATAATTCATTGCATTTTGCCCCGACCCCTAAGATAAAAAGGTCCTCTATGTGGGCATGCCTTGAACCATAATGCATTGCCCTACAGAGGATTTGTAATGTTGGGGGCCGGGGGAAAATGCAATAAATTGTTGATAATTTATTGCATTTTCATATTTTTCTAAACCGTGTCGATCAGCTATATTAGTGCCTTAATCCTTAATATTAGAGGCATTCATCCTCATTACTGTCAGTTATAAATTAAGGAAGTACGTCCCCTAGTTGATTAGCATAGTAGCACACACATGCTTTAGCAGTCACGAAAAACAAACACACATTGTCAAATTATTATTCAATACAATCTGAGAATGTATACTATTATCTAGATCTATTAGGAATAAATTATTGTCAAAATCATCCCATAAATTGGGGTAAAAAAAAATTATTCCACCATTATGACCAACAGTGTAGTAGTAGTAATACTTCTGCTGCTATTACAGCTGTTGCTTCTACTATTGCTCCTGCATACTACATACATACTCATGATTATTTTTCAATCTCACTTAAAGATACACAACACAATTCGAAGGACTTAATATAAGAAATTGAATATTTTGTAATTTGAATTCCCTATTGTACTGCTTATAGGTTTCGATTAGGTATTTCGTCTTTGTAATTTTCTTAAAGTTCACAAGTTGACGCACGAGACAGTTTATTGAAACTGACTTTAGATTTAATGTTTCAAATGCCCTTCTATAATATGTTTATCATATACGGGATTTTTTGTCAACACTTATTTCCGCAATCTTTCTAATCAACTCCATTTCATTTTGAACTCAAAAACCTATTTTACTACGCACAGTATTACATATATATTAATAATAGTACATAATATTTGTATGGCGCCAAATCCACTTGACAATCAATGTGTTTTTTACAATTTCAACGATGTATTTTCCTCTATTGTGTCCTCTAACACGCTTAGACAGTTATGAAAGCCTGGATACACACTCATGCTGAGTTGGATTGATTTTTTGGAAAATGTTACACAAAAGCTCTCTTTTTCTTCTATTGCTTAGGCCATAAGAGGGGTAAATAAAGAAAGAGAGATATATATAAAGAGAAAGAGAGAGAGAGATAGAGAGAGAGATGAAGAGAGAGAGAGAGAGAGAGAGAGAGAGCGGGAGAGAGAGAGAGAGAGAGCGAGAGAGATGAAGAGAAAAAGAGAGCGAGAGAGAGAGAGAGAGAGAGCGAGAGAGACTTGAAAGTGAGAATAGGGGATATTTCGAAAAAGGAAGGATGTGTGTGTATGTATGTATGTGAGAAAGAAAGAGAGCTCGGAGAGAGAGAGAAGGAGTACTTTAACCTGTTTCCAATTATTAAAGTGTAAATTGTAATATGGAAAGGTTGATTATGTAGTGCTTAAGAATTGAAGGAGGCTTACGGCACTAGTTTCTTTTAACTATGACCAAATAGCTAAATGGCTCTTTGAGAGCCTGAAACTTTACAAAGATAAAGAATTAGAAATCAGTTACAACTTTTTCTTTTGGCCTTGACCTAGATTGACCTCCCATAGCTTAATGAAAAATGTTCAACGTTGCTTTATGTGCATGAGGTATCCCAGAACAGCAAATTGTTTACGGAATTTTTGGTTGGAGCCGAAAAAAATATATAGCCACAAACAATATGTTTTTTTTCTATTGATGATTGATGAGCATGGGTGGATCTTAAAGAAAGTTAACAGTAATCTGAATTAACTCGTGTATTTTGATGGAACAGTGCAATTGAAAATGGTGTTTCGGACGTTACATTTTCCGTAAACAATGTAGACCTTCATTTAACCCACTAGAACGATAAATTAATGAGATTGTATATGGTTTGAATAAGCTTATTAGTTACTCCAAGTCATTAAATTAAAAGAAAATAAACTTTAATTATAGTAGCGCTTATTAGAAATATACTCAAAATTTGAAAAAGTTGTCTCATTTTCCGTAAACAATTTTGTAACGTCCGAAACAATTTCCAATTTGAATAGCAGAAAATATATGAACTGCAGGACCTATCTATCGTAACATTTTAAAAACATTTCATGTCGGCTACCCACCAAACAAAAGAAATTTGCAATACATTACTACAATACTATTTTATAGTTAAAACCAATTTTCCGTTAACAGTTGTAACGTCCGAAACCAAAAATACCAATTAAATGATGATAATTCATATTTTGGGGTATCTGGAGTGAATAAATCATTATGAAATAAGTTGTTATAAGTCTTAACACAAATCAGCTCTTTCAAATCCAATAATTTTGTGTAAACACAAGAAGGGTGTTTCGGACGTTACATGATTTCGATGTTAACACATAGTTTGCAAATTTCAACTAATTTTTGATCATATGTGCAAGTAACGATTTCACAATGCACACTCCTGTTAAATACACTAATTTGATAATTTTATTTAGATTTGATGCAAAAAACGAATTTTCTGTAAAATATCTATTTTTTTTGCAAAATTGACTTATAAAACATAAAATATTGAAGCCACACTTTGTGATGCAAGGCAAGGCTGGCTGCTTTAGTATATCTTTAATTGTAATTTATCAGAAAAAATCTCAATAAAAGTGACTCATAAAAAATATTCAGCCATTTTAACAGCACTTTCTGGTATGCTGTTAGCACGTTTCGGACGTTACATTAAACTGTTAACAGACATTTTCATACTTTAACTCGTTCAAATGAGGGGCAAAGATAGATGTGAGAATAGCAAATTTCAATTTTTCAGCCTCTCTTCTTGCTATTTACATTGCTGTGTGTTTGCAAATCGTCAGGTTTTCATTTTATAGAGGTTGTTCCAAATGATGTCATATAACCAAAGATTGTATGGTCAATTTAAACTATTTGGTAGGTTACAAATGCTCAAAATCACCCATTTATACAATACCCAGTGTACATTTACATGACATGGGTATGATACAGTTATATAAAGTTGATAAAATCAATTAAATTAAAATGTTTTTCTAAAAAATTATGGGAAATATGGCTTTTTCATCTGAAACTACATTTTAAAAAGGGCATTCAGTACACGTAACTAATCTGTGTACAAAGGATTACTACTGGCATTATCCAATACTGAAAAGAGCATTAATACCTTATCTAATGATCCTAAACATACACAGTATCTTCCTCAATTGTATGCAGACATTTACATGTAAGCTAGTGTGAAATATAAATGGGCTTTAATATTGCTTGTCCCTTTTCTCTTGCCTATTCATTCACCATCGTTATATCGTTAAACAGAGAATTTGGAAGGATCTTTAACAAAAATTATATTATATGAATCTATAATGTTTTACAGATAACTAGAATACTTGATTTATGAACATCTAATTGGTATCCACATAGCTGTTGGAGCAATGTGCACTGTAAGATACATGTTTAACCTATACTGTTTGTCACCTGCGATATCGGCACAGCAAGAGTTAAGATCAATCAACCAACCAACCAATCAATCCATCCACCCATCAAGTAAATAAATAGATACTTATTCAAGAGCATTTTTAAGTGCTGTCTTTCGTGGTAAAGGATGATTCTTACTAGTATTACAATTTAAAACATACACAATTTTAAAATACATGTAAAATGTCTCATTCTCGGGATGTACAATGGATAAGAATTCCCTTATTTCTTATTACTTTAATGGCGGGGGTTCGTCTTTATAGTTTTATTTAAGACAAAAAATGTTAAATGTTTGGCTTACATACATGTACATGTATGTGTAGTGATATTATTGAATGACCACTACAGTATATAGTTTAATGCAAAGTGTAACTTCGTGTACCATCCGAAAAAAAACTATAACATACATTGTACATGTACACTGTTGTTCATAACATGCAAAAGAGAGTATGTTTGTAAGTAAATTTTTTAAGGAATATTGATGACTACAATTGCTATTAGCTTCATATTTTGCTCTGTTAAATCACACAAGCATTTATAACTACACGTTCTTGAAATGAACAGTATAACTTACATAAATTGGGTAGTCGATGAAGACAATATAGGTATATGTAATAGACTAATTAAAACTGCACAATTGTTTCCATAAAATATGTTAAAGAAGAATTTTTCTGCAAACAATTAATGTAACTTAGGTCAATAATACCTAAAGAAAGCAACTAACTTGAATAAAGTTATGATGTTAAGAGTGTGTAACGTTCGAAACACCAGTGGTGTGACATGTGAAAATTATTAGGCAATGCACTAGTTCCCAATTTTGTTTGTATGTATTTATCTTATATCATCATTTCTTATAATACAATAAGTTTGACCCCAGAAAAAAAGCACTTTACCTATTGAAATGAAAACTTGTTATTGTCAAAACCCTAATTTAGAACTATTTTTCACTTTCAAGGGATACGAAATCTGTATTTTTCAAGATAGAAACTCAAACATTTGCATGAATAATCTCTGAAACATATTCTTAAAGACCAACACATTTTGTTGGTGTAGTTAATAGCAAATGAGTTTTATATCACGGTTATTAGATATGCTATAGTTCACAATAAAATTGTAAGAACTCAAAGTATTCACATCTGGTGAATAAATAGGGAGATAGATTAAGCTCCGAAATTTGCATTTCTCAAAAGTATGAATAGTCCTGATCCTTAAAATACACGTTTAAAGTAAGTAAATATAATTTAATTTTTGACCCTTTTGTGGACACATTTGGTATATGTTAAAAAAAACCAGTGCCTTCTTACACTATGATGTTATGGAATGACCGAAATGGTTTGCCCAAACTTGCTGAAAGTCACGTACACTGAACACAAAAATAGGTATATGGGACCACACACAACAGTTGTGAGTACTCAACCTTCTGTTAAATATACAATCACTCCTATATTCAACCCCTTTCTAGACTCAAGTGCCACTTACTACGACCTATAATCTTTGTACCATTATCCAGCTTATTCATATAATGATGCATAATTCATTAATCATATACTAGTGTTGAATATGATACGAACGCCTATTGTCTACCCAGATTAAAATGTGTCGGTTCATTGACTTACCTAAAATTCATAATGTTCGTTCCGCCATCGTGAATTTTAGATTGTTGTAAGCATGGCCAATATTTACATGTTATTGTAGTCGATGAATAGTCTTCGTGGTAGTTGCATATGCTTTCCGTCCCCACGGTTATATCGTATTTCAAGAGAAATGATCCAGGGATTTTATTTTTAAGATTTCCCTAAGATGGTGCGCACAAGGAATTTCCTGAACACCATGTATATTATCATAATAATACTACACACGACCTTTAAGTCCACATGAACCCATGACATGGTTTACATTAGCTTAACGCTGTTTGATAATATACTGTTTGTCTTTGGTAAAAAGGATAGGAAACTTTTGTGGTAGCTTTTTATGAAGGATACATGGTAGTTTCTTAGAGATAATTTCAACTTCGTTTTCTATGGATGTGTCGATTGGCCGTCATAATGTGTTGGTATGCACGTGTAAGTGTGCGTGTGAGTGTGAGTGTGAGTGTGTGTGTGTTGGAAATGAGATATAAAGTGATACAGAGAACGTGGAACCAAAATCTATCAGTCTCCCAAAACAAATACGGTTAACCTTCATTATTTTATCTTCTTATCTTCTTTTTTTTCTTTCTTCTTTTGTTCCAAACTGTCGAATTCAAATCTAGAGGAGATGTAAACAAATCCAAATAAACGAGCAAACGGGGAAGCAAACGAATATTTGACACGTACTGATTCACAACGTGTCTATGAAAATTCATTTTACTTTTTTGTTCACCATGCAGCAAACATTCTGGATGTGACATGCATCAACTTCAACCCCATCTACGATACCAGCTCCTCGGCATCCTACGCCGCCATCTTGAATGGAGCTGATGTCACAAGCATGGTGTCCTTCCAGAGGTCGGTGGACTTGGATACGGGGGACAGGCAGTCAACCTGGTGTTCGATGGATGATGATGCAGGAACATGCGGGTTGCCTCAAGGATCGATGATCGACTCATCGGGAAGAGTTACTTTCCAAAATACAGATCAAGATAAATTTGGTGCTTACGGATGCCGAGCGGAGAGATACAACTGGACAACTGAGACGTCCACTATATTCATCAGAAATGATGGTAAACAATAATGATAATTAACTTAATAATAAGAATAATAATGATAATGATAATAATTATAAATTATTAGGAATGATAACGATATTTTGTATTACCCAGGGAAACCTCATCAGCAATAATGCTGTTCTCCCTAACGGACCTGCAATTTTAATTAACACATTAATTTCCATGTTCCCACTTTATAAACCTCGGTGGAAAGTAATAAATGTGGTAAAATGTAAACGCAATTTTCACGAAGTGACGGAAAATTGTTACGCAAAGTGAATGCAATTTTTTTTTCACTACCGTCACTTCGTGAAAACAGCGAATAAGGGTACTACTAATGCTTTACAATGTTTAAAGGGATTGGGTAACTTTGTCTCAGATTCTGAAACGAAATCCTGGATTTAGCTCATGCTTGAATGATAATTATAAACCTTTTATAAATATAACACTATATCACAGACACTGATATCACGCAGGGCCATGCATCTCAGATTTAACGTTGTAAAACGATGCTTTTAATGATGATTGTACATGATAATGTCGCTTCAGCATCGTGAGCTGTGCATCAGAAAGTAATCGGCTTGCATGCCAGCTGATTAGAGATTATTAGTTAAAGGGACAGTTTCTAATAGAAAGTTACGAACAAAAAAGAAATATTGCCCAGGCCTATGTACTCGATATAAAAACTCTTTCTGAATTTTCTTCCATTTTGAGCTGAAATCCCAAATCCTGGGTTTGGGGGATGGGGCTGCATCAATGTCCTCCCTGGATTCTCAACTGAAGGGAGAATTTAAGTTTTGTTGATCATTAATTCAATACCATCAGGGGTATCATGTAGATGGTGCATATACACGTCAAGTATACAAATAATGCTTTGATATACCTTATAAATATACACTGCATTCCAATGATATATTAAAATTACAAATAGAAAACATTTATTTACTGGAGACTTGATGAAAATATTGCTAATCATGGTTATAGTGTATATAGAACACTGCAATACAAACAAATGAACTTTATGAATGCGCTTTAAAGCCTAATTAAAGTGATTTAAAAAAATGGTGTACAAATGAAGTTCTTTTAACAAAATAATTTACGCAGAGGGAATCGTTGGAGATAAAACATTAATTTTGATGTACTCCATATTTCTTCTTCTTTTAGCTCATTTCACTCCTGGTTACTTCACGGTGACAGTAAGTCTCGATGAAGAGGTTCGTCTGTCAATGAATACTAGCTCATCAAGTGGAACTAGTGGTTCACTCGTGTGGATATTAAATCACGAAGATGGTAGGCAAACTGACTTGTCTACTAATGTTTCTGGGGATGCCCTCTACGTCAGCAAGGCTAAGAAAGCGGAACATGCTGGTGTTCACCATTACTACTATTCTGACGATCCAGATAGAGGAGGACTAGTGAAGCTTATTGTTAGAGGTAATCATGTCACCTTCTCTTCCAATGATCCAAAGATAATCAGTTTTACTTACAAATTATTTCGGTTGATTAACCCATAGCCTGCCATGAGGCTGCATGCACGCTACCTATTGAGTGCCATGTGCGTGCAAGGGCGCATTCGTAGTAGCAGTTATTGTTTATGCTCATTGGGCTGTGCTGTGTGTTTTGCACTCGCCATTCATAGAACCATCGCATTAATCAGATTATCTCCAAAACAACCTGGCACAGTGGGGATTAGCCCTGTGGCACGATAAGAGTTAAGAAACAATGTACCACAACATATAGGAACGAGGCATTATTTAAATGGCATTTATCTTGACCTAATATTTGTTTCCCGCCATTTAAGTTTACCGAATCCTTTTTTATCAGGAGAGATGTCTGGACAAAACCTTTATTTTTATTTGTGCGGATGAGCTCAATTAAATTCTGTTATTACTTATATATGTATGTCATTCAAACGTTTTTATGTAAGAAATTGCATGTTTTCAATTGATGTATTTTTTAAATGTTTTAAACAAAGATGGAATCTGAATAAATTAAATTGGTTTGAACTGAACTGAATTGAAAATGAGCTTTCGATGTCAATCGTGGAAATGATATTCAGAATACGACTATTCTGGCTTTTTGTCAATACATGTTTACGGTTGCCTTTTCGTAATGGTTTACTTGTAGAAAGTAGAGAACGAAAGTTTGACATTATGTAATGTTCATTGTATGTGAAGTTCTGATGATTTTTACCTTGTTTTTTCGTGTTTTTTTATAATACAATTTGTTTCGGACCATATAATTTTTTAACGATATCCCTAAACTACAAATATTTTTTTATTTTTATAATTTCATATTCTTGATCAATCAATAACTCCTTTTTGGGATGCAAGCATACTGTTTACAAAACCATTATGACTTCTTCATTTTTTTATGGTTACAGCTTGTCTGGATAACCTCTGGGGACCTGGCTGCCAGTACACATGCTCTGCTTGCTACAATGGAGGAGTCTGTGATGATGTGAGTGGACGCTGTGTGTGTCCACCTGGTTTCAGTGGTGACCACTGCCAAATTGGTAAGTGAAAAAGAGAATGGGGCAATTCTTGTTATCATCTACTCTCTGATATTAAAATGATTGTAATAAAAGCATTGATATGAATGATAGTAGTAAAAAGATCTGTAAAACGACTGAAAATGAATGATGATGGCGATGATAATATTAATGATGATGATGATGATACTATTACTACTACTAATGCAAATAATAATAAGTATCACTATAATCATTAGCATAATATAATAATGATAATCGTAATGATAATTATTATAATAATCATAATCATGATAATAAATAATGAAAAGAAGATCGAACAACAACACGACATCAAAAATAATAGCAACACCATCACTATTAACATCACTAATAGTACTTCTAGTACGACAACTACTACTACTTCTACTACTACTACCACTACTACTACTACTACTACTATATACCAATAATAGTACTGCTACTGCTACTACTAGTACTACTGCTGCCGATGCAACTACTACTACTACTACTACTACTACTACTACTACCACTACTACTACTACTACTACTACTACTACTACTACATACCAATAATAGTACTGCTACTGCTACTACTAGTACTACTGCTGCCGATGCAACTACTATTACTACTTCTACTACTACTACTACTACTACTACTACTACTACTACTAATACTATATACCAATAATAGTACTGCCACTGCTACTACTAGTACTACTACTGCCGATGCAACTACTACTACTACTACTACCACTACTACTAATACTACTACTAATGCTACTACTACTACTACTACTACTACTACTACTACTACATACCAATAATAGTACTGCTACTGCTACTACTAGTACTACTGCTGCCAATGCAACTACTACTACTACTACTACTACTACTACAACTACTACTACTACTACATACCAATAATAGTCCTGCTACTGCTACTACTAGTACTACTGCTGCCGATGCAACTACTACTACTACTACTACTACTACTACTACTACTACTGCTACTAATACTACTACTACTACTACTACTACTCCTACTACTACTACCAGGCGCGTACGCAGGATTTGTTCAAGGGGGGGGGGTTTAACTTTTTTTTTTTTTTTTTTTGTTAATTAAAAAAAAAAAAAAAAAATCCAAAGGGGGGGGGGGGGTTTAGGGGGGTTATGGGGGGGGGGGGTTTATACACACAAAAATAGCAAAGGGGGTGGTTTAACCCCCAACCCCCCCCCCCCCCTGTGTACGCGCCTGACTACTACTGCTACTACTACTACTAGTACTACAACTTGTATATTAATTATATTTACATAGCGCCAAAGCAGTCAGAACTAACTAGTCCAAGTGCTTTGCAGTGTATGGTAACTACGATCATTGGGTTTTAATATGCATTTTAACTCATTTAAAAAAGTAAAATAACTTTTTAATATCTCTAATCGGAATCTCTAGAAATGACTTATGATATAAATGTATAAATAAAGATAACTTTTAATGTAGACTATCTTATACAAGGAATTAATTAGGAATCTCTAACTCTACCTCTCTATCTCTCCGTCTCTATGTATCTCTGTCTGTGTGTGTGTCTCTCTCTCCGTCTCTTTCTCTTTCTGTATCGGTCTATCTGTCCCACTTTTTCTCCCTTTCTCTTACTCTCTTTGTCTCGGAATTGTGCTAAAACGACAAATAATGTTTGTAAAAGTACAACAAATAAGCAAAACCTATGAATGCTCCTCTCTGTCATGTCTATTCAACATTATATACAGCATGTGAAGCCGGTAAGTTTGGACAGGGATGTTCTGGATCTTGCACTACCCTTGAATCTGGTCGGACTGACTGCAGTGGAGCTGTGTTCTGTCTCCCGGATCCGTATGGATGTTCGTGTGCTGCAGGATGGACAGGGTTACAATGTGACCAAGGTAAGAGAGAATCAGATGACATGCCAGTTATCATGGCGATGTTTGCTTGGCATGCCATAATCAAGGAACCATTGCTGCATTTGATGTGATTTCCTTTTTGTTTACATGTACAGTACCGTAGCCATGATTAGATATAACATGGAAATTAATTCTAGTAATAAGACAACTGATATGATGAAAATGATTACAACAACAATAATGGCAATAATATTAATGTTGATGATGATGATATTTTATTTGTTATATATTCGTTTACCACAAGTGTGTCATTTATTTACCACTACTTATATTTATATACCACTACTTTTCTTCATAGGGATCCACTGGTGAAGATGACAATTATGATAACAACAACAACAATGATAATAATATGAAAGATAATGATGATTATAGTAATTACAATTATGATAATATGTATAAAATAATAATAATGATGATAATAATGATATCATTGCATTCTTCAATTGAGCACATATCCACCATCATGACCATGCAAGGTGCTCATGGTGCTCCAATATTACCCCGACACAGGCTGGGCTACACCACGTTTTTGGTGCTCACAACATTTAATGGACCCCCCCCCCCCTTCCCACACCCAATGTTCCCATTAACCATTGGGAGATGAGTGGCAAAATGTAGATTCACGTCTTGGTAAAGAAATTAGTGCCGCACAAGAGCCCGAGCCGAAGTCTTTTGCATTTCCAGTCATTAGATTATTAAACCACTCGACTTTGACACCCTTCAGAGCACCACAACCTCATGGCGCCACAACATTTCAACAAGAAAAACACAAGAGGAAAACAAAATAAACCAAAATAAAATAAAACGATGACTATCATTTTTTGCTTCTTGAAAATGACGGATTTCATATGACAAATTTTCAAAGTATTTCCCCTGATTTGGTGCTTATTATTGTTTCATTGGTAAACCGTTTCTACCCTGTTCAGGCACAGTTATAGAAAAATGATTAAAAAAAGTGGCATTGGGGGCTTTTGCAGTTCTGTTGTTAGGGGTGGAGCGGAGCAGCCTCTCATTAAAGAACAACTTTCAATATTTATTTCAATTTATTATTTACGTATTCATGTATTTTTAAAAATTTTAATTATGAATATTATTATTATTATCATTTTTTCGGGATGGGGGGAGGGGGGGGGGGAGGGGGTGGGGGGGGGGGAGCTTGAATAATTTCTTTTGGAGTAGTGAACCCCTACTGATCCTCTATTCTTCTTACTGGTTATCTCTTTTATCTCCACAAAGCATGTCCTGATAGTTCGTACGGCGCAGGATGCACTGAGACATGTCACTGCGTCTCTACAGGAACATGTGACCCTCTTACGGGGGCCTGTTCTGATGGTTGCGAAGATGGCTGGATTGGAGATCAATGCCAAGGTAAAGGAGCATAAAGGAAGTGATCAAATTGGAAAAGTGACCGTGACTAAGTTGTACTGATGAAGGCTTTTGATAAATTGCATAAATTAATGAAATGTTATGGGGTACACTAGTTTGCAGACGAGCAGAAGTTAAGGTCCTCAAGGATTCACATGTTTCGTACAGCTTCTAAACTTTACAAAACAACAACGAGAACAACGACAAACAAAAAGGGAACTCGCCGACTTTAGAAGGTGGCAGTGGAGTTATATTATTCCTACCTATATAACAATTTAACAATCTTTATAGGTATATCAAGAACTATATGGATATTTTGTGGATATCAATCAATTTCATCACAATCAACTAATTTTTCTTTTTTTTGTATATATTTGGGTGGGGGTGTAGAGGCGTGATGACAAAAAATACTGCAAGAGAATACATGTTTTAGTATGAAGGCTTTTTTATGTTATTGTTCTTCTTATCAGAGCACTTGAAATGACTTTTGTTCATGAAAGAACTCGTGCTAAATCTAATATGATTATGTAGAAACGGTCAACCAAACATTGAGATTGTGTCCTTCTTTTTGGTCGTTTAGTAATCGCAGGTAATTTTGCAAATATGTGGTAAAAACCATGCAATACCATGCTAATCATTATTTGCCTGTACACCTTTTCTAATTTAAGACGTTTCTATTTATACGCAAAATATGTTATAGATTATATGGGAACACTTCTTCGACTTTTCGACTTAAAATATCAATTGTATCATTGTGTACTTGAAAAATGTTGTTATCTGGAGAATTACTTCGCGGTTTCACATTTTATTTTCTACTGCAGTGACTGTTTTGGACATCATAGCTATGTTAAGAGGAGGTGTCTATGATGCCACGGCTACCAATAATTTCCTCGGTATATTCATGATTGGGGATAGTATTGTAACCGGAGATCTTTCCTTGACGTATTCCATCGGACGAGAAGTGGACACGGGACCAGGAGAGACTGGTCACGGAGCTTACTTTAAGGTTGATGGCTTAGTGAAAACAGAAGCATGGGAAGACACAGGGCTGCCTCCCGGAACACAGTTTACTAGATCTACAACTAGCGCTCAACACTCATTAAGAGCTGGAATTGATAAAACAAATGGCGGAGCTGCACGTGTCGGTGCATACCGAATGTCCGTCGATTACAAGGGATGGACCGAGCGAAATGTCTTGCTGAATGAGTACCGCGGTGGTATGATCGTTTGTTGCATTTTGCATGTATTTCTTTAAAAAATCTTATTGCCCCCTTACTAAACAAAATTATTTGTGCATATTGATACACATGTAATTGATGCGTCGCTTTGAATATATTCATTTCAAAGAAGGGTCTAATTTGTACTTCCACTTTGTTGATTAGGTAGATTGATATTTTTTTTAATTTAACATGTTGAAGGGTATTCATGCGTTTATGTATGAGGTATGAAAAAAAAATTACTCATTCACTCCATAATATAACCATGCAATGGCCGCATTACTGTTAGACGAATGTTGTATTATCAAATTTTGGGTAAGAAGGCAATTCCGACACGATCACAACCATTTTCGAAAAAATCAACCTCGGGCAATTTCAATAGCCTTGTGCGTCACCTATTGCAATTTGCGTACATGACAATGATGCATTACGTAGTTCGAACATGATTCTATGGGATGTAAAATAGGATGTTGAAATTGCCCTTCAGTTGATTTTTCAAAAATAGTCGCGATCGTGTTTTCTATCCTAAAAGAGTTTTCGTGAAAATGGATCAGTTCCACGATTATTAGATAAGCCTATCATACTAGAAACTACATTACCAAATATGTAAAGAATTGTACACTTTAATCTCTTACGGACTCTTTAGGCTTAAAGAATTCTTAGACATCAGAAGTGTTGATATGTTCCTATTTTAATTGATATGTACAAAACGTTCATGTACATTAAGTACATGCAACCTATCATTTTTTTATCTTTATTGTCAGAATCTAATTCAGAGGTTTGGCCTGAGAAATTATCAATTACGGTAGGGATTGGCGAGACCGTCACTCTCGGCGTCTCAACGACACAATCTGTAGACACTTCATCTTTGAGATGGCGATTCAACGGAGGAAGTGAAATCACCGAATGGAATGGAATGACATCAGTTACCATCTATGACGTCAGGAAGTCTGATGAAGGAATCTACGAGTGCTACGTCGAGGGTAACAGAGAGACAGGAAAACATGCTATTCTTAAACTCATCGTAAGAAGTAAGTAAACGAAGATTGGTACCGCCATATTTAAATACCTCTACACTTCTTAAACATTCTGCCGACGTTCTGCACCGATTACATGTTGATTTTACGAAGTTTCATTAAAAGGTTTATAATGCCGAAGGTTCATAATTCCGAAAATGACAAGAAACCCTGAAGGCCTACCGTATTTTTGGAATTACGAGCCCTTCGGAATAACAAACCCTATTTCCCTTTATTTGTTGGTATAAACCCTATTCTAATTTCGGAATAACGAACACTATGTCAGTTTCAGATTTATAAACCATTGGATAAACGAACCTTCTGAATAACGAAACAAATGTTCGGAATAGTGGACCCCTGGAATGGAAAATTTATGTTTCGAAATTACAAATCTTCAGAATTACAAACCGTCGGAAAGTGCCTCCTATATCAGCACACTGCAAACGATTCATCAAAGTATTATTTTTTCTCGAATAACGGCGTAAAGTAAAATATGTCAGAGGCGGATCTAGGGTGTTTCGGCGATTTAACCCCCCCTTCTCCATTGGGCGGCCAAGTGAATAAAAAAGTAAAACAGTAAAACGGCGCGATTTTTGGAATTTTTTTGGGTCAACCCCCCCCCCCCCCTGGCAAAAAGCTAGATCCTCCCCTGTATGTAATGCAAAGATTAATCTTTGTCAGATGTCTATAGTGAAATTTATATTGTAAAAATCGTTTTACGGAGTTTGCGTTGAAATAAAAACCATACAATTTAAGCAACATCCAATTCACAGATGAGGACAGCAGCAAGTCCTAACTTCCCCTGTCATTCTCGATTTTGAGCTCGCATCACAATATGATATATTTAGAATTGCGTTATCATGGCCACCGTTTATAGAAAGCTGCAGTGTATTGCTGAGCCGTCAGGTGGGTTACAAGAGGCCTACAAAAAAAAAATAATGTTGTATTGCCCTTTAGGTGCCAAAACATGGGTCGGTCAGTCGGAAATCTTTTTCTTTTTTACTTTAAAAAAAAAATTCTCCCTCTTTGGGCTGATATTTCTCAGTTTTTATTGCTTTAATACATTTTTTTCCTAAAAAACGGTAAAAAGAAAAAAAAAAGCCCACCGTATATTTCAAGATTTTCTTTTTTTAGGCCTGATTAGATGCCATGATTTGTCTTCCTACATTGTGTTTTTAGGTTGCCCATCTTTCAAGTACGGTCTTGATTGCTCCCTGAACTGTCCCGTGTGTTACGCTGGTGGGGTATGTCATGACGTCACGGGAGAGTGTGTATGTCGATCAGGATTCCGAGGAGTTAACTGCGAAATAGGTAGGCCTAAGTATTATTTGGTAACTTGTTTCTTTTTACTCAATCATTATTCATCTTCAACTACAATTAAGTATCAAAGAACTACGGCGTAATAATTCCGAAATAATCGAATTGCGAAATCGTATTGGAAATTGTAACGTTGAGATAAAAATAAATAAAAAACGTCATTAAAGACCCCTTCAGAAGTGAAAGATTAAATGGATGAATTATATATCCACGGAAAGCCCATAAACCATAGATTACAATGATTAATAATACTATACTTCAGTATCTCAGAAAAGTAACAGCTCTCTGACAACTTGAAACCTAAAGCTTTGAAAATCGAAGGTTGTCGACCTATAGAAACTAGCTATATATCGACTTGATGACATAATTTTATGTGGAGTAAGCGTATTTCCATTGAATTTGTATAATTAAGCAAGGTTTATCGCCGATCAGGTTCCCCGTTCACATGTTATGTCGTCACCGTTACTCTTGCAAATTTTATGGGATGCGGAAAATGAGGTTTGAATTTGCTTTTGTGCATTAATGAAAGGTAAAATATTTGTTATTCTTCTATACTTGTAATTTCAATTAATACGAAGTTGTCTATTCGTCGGATAAGGCCATTAAGGACTGGAAGCACTACCGCAAACATCTCCTCTAGCACCATCTCAGGACAGCTGTTAGGTCTATCTGTGAAGTGAGAATTAGGTGTTGCATTACACACTGTTGGCAATTTGACTAAAAGATGGAGCTGTACAATAAACAATACGCTATGGCAGTGTCGCTTGAAATGTAACAAATAATCTGTATTTTCTTCTTTGTTTACATGGTCATGTAAATGTCATTCCATTCACCAGCTTGCGGTGACAATAACTGGGGGAAATCCTGTACTGTGGTTTGCTCTAGTGGTAACCCCGGCTGCCCAAACCGGTTATTTTCACCACCAAATCCAGTCGGATTGGCTTGCATCAACGGATTTGGAGGAAACAGGTGTCAAACAGGTATGTTGAACCATAGATACCATACATACAACATTACAGATGAAAAAAGGAGGAAATTTAGGTTGTCAAGGCGCCAATATTAGAAATGGACCGGAATATGTTTTTTTTTTTTATAGAATTTTAAATAAAAAGTAGTCTATAAAAAAAAACATGTGTAAAGACTACAAGTAGAGTTCCCGAACACAAAATGTTTCTTTTTCTTAAAACTTGCTTGGCTGACTTATGCTACGTTTACACTATGTTCCCGGCGGCCACGGCAACCCCGTTTCGGGCCACCGTGAACGAAACAAGATTGACGTGACACAACGCGGGGTACCGTATGTGCGAACGTGACAGTCCTTAATAGGCCGTAACAAAACTTGGAGGTGGTCCGTAATGGGACGGGAAGCCCGAACATTCCCCGGCATCTTACGGTCTTTTCAAGTTTTGTTACGTTCTGCAACGTTTAGTGCACGTTTTGACGCGGTTGCTTCACGGTTGCTGCGCATTTGGTCCCGTTTAACCACGTTTAACCAAGGATTGCCCCGGTTCTCACGGCAGGTATTATGTATGGTAGCCGTTTTGTCGCGTTTATTCACGGCGCATCCCGGCGTCTAACGGTTTACGGGCGCGGTGCGTTGCGTTCTGACACGGCGCACACGGTCGGGAGTAGCATATATAAAAGACGGGCGCGGCAGGAGTTTCATTCGAGTCGGAGCAATCGACGCCACATTACTGCATCTACAATACGAAGAAAGAAGGCCAAACTATGCCACCGAAGAAGCCAAGCCGTTCGAAGGCCTTCCGTCCTGCACCACCACCACCACCACCACCACCACCACCACCACCACCACCACCACCACCACCACCACCACCACCAGTAGTAGAGGAGCAGGAACAGCCTGAAGATCCTCGCCGTTCGCCCCTGTCAAATGAAGAAGAGCATGCTGCTGCTGCTGACCCGGTCCCTGAACCTGAACCTGAGGCTAGGGAGGCTTGGGAGGCTGAAGAAGACGCACTAGCTAGGAGGAGGGCAGCCACCAGGGTCGTCACCACCTTTACGGAGGATGAGTCCGATGAGAAGGAGCTCATCATTGACTTCCTCCAGCAGCATCCTACGCTGTACTTTATTGCTTGGGAGGCCTCCTTTTTATACCATGGGCACAACCGTGCTCCAAAGCTGCCCGGCGTCCACGTTTCATCCGTAGAAAGCCTTGACAGAACGTGAAAATCGTGTCAGACCTTGATCAGAACGTGAGAAACGTGAGGGACCCCATCAGAACGTGACGGGCCGGGAGGGAATGTACTGGCGTCCGTGGTAGGCCGGGGCCGAACCGTAGTGCGCCTTGGAGCCTCCGGGACTCAGCAGCCCCTTTTCCCGCACGGCCCGTCATGGATACCGTGAAAGACCGTGAGAAAACTTGACAAGACCTAACAAAACTTGAACACAGAAAAATATTTCCAAAATCCCACGGCGCACTACGTTTCGGGCAAACGGGGCTGCCGTGGCCGCCGGGAACATAGTGTAAAGGTAGCATAAGTACTGCTCTTACCCTGTTATAATAATAATTAAAAGCAAAGATTTCCCCTATTTAGTTGATTCGTACATTTCTCACAATTTTGATTAGATATGTAATCTGCACAATAATCTAATGGAATTAAAACAACAATAAATTAACGGCTTTCTGGCAACATTTTCCTTTAATTGGCAGTGTACAAACAGACATATTTAATATCTATTTATAATTCATCATTCGTATGTTTCTTGACATTTCACTTTTTATTTTATGTCGTTAACATAAAAACGGCATTATATATTGCTCTGGCCTTCTCTACAAATTTCAGTATAGCTTCACAAACAGCACTGTTTTTCGTGGTTGCAATCCAGCATAAATTTAATGGAAAATGTTCATAATTCAAAATGTTTCAAGAGAAATCAAAATACAATTTAGTCTGATGTTTCCATCTAACCGAAAATGGAGTCATATTTTGTTGTTCTAGAGCACAAAAGTATATATTTTGTATCTACCTATTACAAGGTGTCATCGGATGGTTGGTGAAGATGATTGTGGATGTTACACTTATGAAAATGTAAAATATTTATCATTGACACAATCTTTTAATGTTTCCCAAAAGCTTGCACCGGTGATCATTTTGGTGCTAGTTGTGAACTGGATTGTAACTGTGATGGTACGTGCGACCGTGAGGATGGATGTGGAGGCCAATGTTCAGCCAACTATGAGGGTACCTACTGTCAAGGTAAGCATACAGAGGATGTTTCGTGATCGTCCTTCCAAATAATTTTCTTTTTATGTGATCTAGTGGGGATGCCATGTCTTTAATGTTAAAGCGATACTGAGCTGACGAACGTCCTGCCCTAGCGTATTGCACATTGCCGTTTCATGGTCAACTTGCCAACAGTGCGTAACCCGCTGATCTCTACATTACGTTAGAGTGAAGAGTTAAGAGGAACTAACAGCGCAGCGAGCTATGGAATCATACTGCTACCTGAGATGGCGCTTGAGGAAGCACTCGTAGTGGCTTTAATCCACTGACCATGTATGGATAAAAACATGAGGGCAAACATGAGGGAAAAATGCGAAATAAATATAAGCCACTACATTTTGTATAATTCATCTCAATGCATGCATCATAAGAAAATACAAACAATAATTTGAAATTCATATATATATTTGTATGGTCATGTTTTAAAGATATTCAAAGTGAAGTGCACAAATAGAATGTCGATATGCCAATTATCTAATAATTCATTGTCACAAAAGCCCCCTACAGGCAGCATCGTTTAATGACATGAAACGTTAATTTCCTTTGGCACATTTCGTTTGAAAGAAACAGTTTTGTATTAATAACACGTTCTTACAATAATTGTTTGACGGCAATTAGGACACGGATGTCCAGAACATTATTATGTCACTCAAATATCTTTTCATGATTTTGCTTTGTTTGCTTGTTTCTTTAGCCTTGAAATCAGACCGCTCTTGTCCAACCGGGTATTTTGGTACCCTGTGTAGCTATCCATGTCATTGTGCTGGTGGTGTGGACTGTCAACGGACCAATGGTCATTGTCCGAATGGAGTCACGTGTGCTGAGGGATGGGCAGGATCAGACTGTCAACAAGGTAAAAATGAGCGTATCTCAGGAAAAAAGGAAGGAAAACAGAACTTGCAGGCAGACAGGATGAAGCAATGTTTAGACTACGGATGAAATTAATAAATCATTATGTAGATTCATTGAGCCCGTTCCCCTCCCATTGTGTCACTTGCACATTCATTTTTAATTGCTCTATAAAATATATAATGATAGACTTCAGGTAAAAACATATGTTGCCTATGATCTATAATAGAAATAGAACCATACGATAATACTTTGATATTGCATGTGAGCATTTCCACGAGCCTTTTTTTTTTTTAACCTAGTGAATAAATACCGTGACCTCATCAAATCTTTCCAATTTGCCTTCGATCTCTAGGAGTGCGGAGTTGGTTCTAAAAGTAATAAAGGTGGTATTGTAGTATTATGTTATGTTATTTTGTTTGACGGTATGCGGACTTTTGGTCATTAAGCATAATTACGTTCGCGTGTCTAAATTCATGTTCAGCACTTTAGCCAGTTTCTGATGAAATACAGTTCCATCACCAGAGGTAAATATCTCCTTTATAAACACCAGTGCACACGCACACCCATACATGCATACATATATATATATATCACATAATCGCATTGAGTCACAAATAATTAATTTGCACGATATTAAAGGTATAAAACCAGTTCTGGTCATGCGATTGCATTACGTTGTGGAATCACTCAGAAAAGGTTGATCATCTAGTATAAACACATATGTGAACTGCAAGGTTCTGGAATCATCAAAATTATAAGAAATTTGGCCCAGTTTTGGTAAAGTTACAAGCACTGTACACAGAAATATGTATATGGGACTACCCTCTATCTATCCAGTCCGGATATTAATAATTTACCAAATATATCAATTAGAAGGCAGATTCCCGGCAAAAATGTTTGTCATCACGTATTAGTCAAAACATAATCTTTCACATGTTTGGTAATATTATGAGCTTCCATTTCATTTTTTGGAGAGGGGGTCGTTTCCAAAAACTGGTCTTTAACTGGTCTTGGATCGAATACCAATGTACCAATTGAAAAATGCGCCCATGAGAGTATTCAATAAGCTTTTATCAACCCGAACAGCTCTCCCACGACTGCTTGAATCACCATGGGTGTTTGACGTCACCAAAGATTCGGTCCTGCTCATTTGGAATGCCTGGACAGATGGTTACGACTTTGGAAATGGCCCTGTCCACTCCTACCAGATTGATTACACGAGGACGGATAACACTGGTGAATCCGAAGAACCTTTAATTATCACTGGAGATAGTACTGCTGAAATCACGGGGCTTTCCGTTTTCAGGGACTACGATTTCTACGTCAGTGTTAGAAGAGAGGTCGAGGGTCAGGTTGTTGCCGGTGTAAGGAGTGGTCCAATCAGTGCCAGAACAGATTGTGGGGGTAGGTCTATTCATTAACGAGTTCAACTGTCTTTATTATCTTCGTACTAACGTGATATCCCTGCAGTAACTACTTCCACATCGCAAACCGCAGTCTTAGCGTAAATTCATTCATTGAGAGGGCATTGATGTCTTGAGAG